GGTATTTGGTGTGAGATTCATATAGTTAGATATGTTGCCTCAATTATTTCCTCTCTTTGGGGAAGGGGAGAGAAACCTAGGGTCTCAGATCATCCTCGATGGAAATTTGTATCTCTTCTTGGGTTTAAAGAGGATGATCACTCTGATAGATTTGTTGATGATTTTAGAAAAATCATATTGGGCCTCCAAAATTCATTTTGGGAAGATCCTCGGGTAGAATCTATCTCCCTTAAGAACAAGTTCCCTGATATTTATTCTATTTCTACTCAACACAGTTGATTCTTGGGTGAGATTGGTCAAATGGAAAATAAGAATCTTATTTGGCACCTCAGGTGGAGAAAAATATTTTTTTGCGAGTTACATGTGATTGAGAACTAGAAGTGGAATCATACAGGAGATGATATTACCTCTCTTTACCGTCTTTAGTTGGACTTATTTATCCCTTATTTTTCTTATAATGTGGTTGAAATTCTACAGTTCTCTTAATATGGGTTACTTGGGCCCCTTCTAAGGTGATGGTATTTTCTTGGCAGCACCTACAAGATGACTCCCTTTATGGAGAACCTATTAAAACAGGGAGTGATTATTGATTCTATTGGGATCTCATGTCCATTATGTGAGAGTTTGGTTGAGTTGGTCTACCATCTTTTTCTCAGTTGTGAGTTAGCTTTGTGTTTGATATATGATCTTTTAGTGGTTAGGTTAGCAGATGAGTGTTCCTGGTGATCATAGACTTTTGTTTATGTTTTTCCTCTCTTTAGGTGGCAGAAGTAAGTCTAGGGGCGACTTTGCTATGATTTAGCATGATGTTGTATGGTATATTTTGAAGGTTTGTAATGATGATATATGTAATGATGTTTTAACAATTGTAGAAGAAGTGGAGGAGAAGCACGTTTTTTGGCCTGAAAGTAGTTTTTAGATAGAGCTGACTTTAACTCATGCACTTTCTTTGACTAGTTTTAAAATCCTATCCTTTATCTAAGTCAATAGTGAATTGTGTATTTATCTGAATTCGTGGTTTAAATTTTTTATTCTCTCTTAATGTCCTTTGATTTGTTGGATGTGGTCCCAACTATCTTAAATCCAACTTGAATCTTTATGATGAGGTCTCTAACTGCTCAATTTTTTTTTATGTTTCTTTGATGTCTCTAAATACTCTAGTTCTTCTCTATGTGTGTTTGTTTTTCTAGTTGATAGTTATTCATATTTTTTGTTGTTTTTTTTATTGGACGGTCTGTTTAGCACTTCTTGTACTTAAAGTAACCATTTTTTTTATACTTTAACGGTTTTGACCTCTTTACCAATATATTTTATTTTTATTTTTTTACATACTACTCGAGTTTTTTATATCTTACTATAATCAATTAAAACCAATTCTCGATATTAATATTAATATAATAATCAAGATTATATAGAAATAACACACAAACATACAACAACTTGTGCCACTATTTCTTTTTGAATAACAAAATCAATCCTTTTAAAAACTAAATTCATGTTCTTAAGTAACACAATATTATTATACATGAATTTTTGTACTCTCTGTAAAAATTACACCACTTCAGATGCTAGAAAATTAAAAATATCAAAGATAAACAATATAAAAATATGTTAATTATCGAAACATATTTTCTCATTCGTGATACTTGATAACTTTACTTAAAAAGGTATTGAAAACTATAAAACATCCTGGATCTCATTCCCAGCATAGGCTTCTCTAAATCTATGTGTTATACAGCTGTTACACCTATAAAAAAAGCGTTTCTGCATTTAAAAAAAGTTGTAATCTAATTCCAAACAACTTGTACTCACTTCTCCCAACAAAAATTCCTTTCACATTACAATCACTAGACCTTTTTATTTGAGAAACCAATATTTGTCATTTCATGACAAATTTTGGAAAGTACCAAAGCAACTCAAGAAACCGAAACTCACCATCTTAATTTTAAAGTCAACTGAATCCATTCCAACAAAAATAAGAAGCACTAAAGCCCTTTCTCGAGACAATTGGTCAACTTTGGAAAATGTATACATGGATCATCATCATAAAATTGAAAAACAATGTATAAACTTCTTATTTATTAATAATTTATAAAGCACTATGCTGCAACAAAGTGTTGCAATTTCTATTTTATTAGTGGCCAACAAACATTCATGTACATCACAGAATGTAATGCATTATATATGCATGTATAATTATATAAAATTCTTATTGACCATGAACACCTTTACATACAAACAAATCACGATTAACATGTCTGACTTTAACAACAATTAATTATTATAAATCCAAATATAATTAATGACACAAATCATAATTAACATGTCTGACTTTAACAACAATTAATTATTATAAATCCAAATATAATTAATGATTTAACACTTGTAATATATTTAAAAAATGTCAAAATTACCTAAAAACAAACAATGTCATAATTATTTACATGTGAATAATTCAGTAAAAAAGAGAATAGAAACATGAAATATCACATGTTATCTGTCCTTGTATCAAAACAACTAGTTATTTAATAAATGTGACAGAGAGATATATATTATATAAGGTAAAAACAATAAAAGAAGTTCCTAATAAATACATAGCCTAGATATTTTAGATCTCAAAACCATCCTTTTCTAATAGCTAAATACACTATGCGTGATACAACCGTTCCTATTTAAAAACATCACAAGAATTCACCTTCTTCACTTTTTCATGTATCTATATAGTATCTAATAACCTATACTATAGCAACATTTTCATAGTGTCACTATTTCAACCACAAATAGTTTTTTACTAATTTTTGTCACACTCTTAAATCCCACTCAAAAGTTAGGGGAAAATTGCCTACTTTTACTATAAGGGTGTAATGGTTTAAATCTAAATACTAATGAAGTACATGTTTGTTTTCTGGTCTAGTGTTGGTAATTTTTTATCTTTGTTCTTTGAAAAAGAAATAAAAATACCCTCACTAGGTCAAACACATATGACATTCATAAATGCGATTTTACCAGTTATGTTTTTCATGCCAATATAGGTTGTAAGTTGGTGAATTTTCACTTTAGGTTCACAAAGTTTTTAAACTCGATACTTAAACAATATAGATTATATTCAGAATGAATTCCTCAATCTAGGCTAAAGGATACGGTACAAACTTTCGGTTGATACTGATGACACTAATATTCTGATCGATTTTAAATTTGTATCACTATAATAATAAAGTATTGTCTGATTTGAGTATCGGAATCCTCACAATTTTGTCATTTAAAAGAAATTTATTATTGAATTGAAGTGTATGAGTGTGCATATAAATTATCTTAATATTGTTGGAGAGAGTTATTAGGAGCATCGATACATAATGTAGGAATATACACTTTTGTGAGAGACACACCACTTATCCACATAAAATCTTAAGGTGATAGAGTGTGAGTTCTCTCACTTCTATATATGCTTAAGTCTCCACATTTCTATCAAATGTGAGACTATTTCCCCACTTACTCATACTTGCCATATTATTCCAACAAATATCGATTATCAAACAATGTACGACGACTATTTTGATCAACCTGAAACATAACCTATTTGTGATACAATTTTTTTTACTTTAAAAGACAATTTTCATTAGAACTTAATGATCAAAATCGTAAATGAAAATAAATATATGTATTTATTACTACAGTCAATCTTAGATTAAACCTCAAATATTAAAGAAATATTTACATACTTTTTACAAAGAAAAACTCCGCTACTTAAGAAAACAAACTTAAACATGCACAAACAAAATTAAGAGAATTAAATAAAAGCAATCGAAAAACCAATGTCAATCAATGTTAGACCTCTCCAAAGCAAGGACGCCAGAAGGAACACCAAAACCACAAAAAAAACACAACAAGAACACATTTAATTGAGGTCAAAATCACTCACCCCTATTAATTTAGAAACAGTAAAAGAGTTCTCCTGTCAGGCCGAATAAACACATGAGTTTTTAACAGTCCTATCAAGATACCATTTTAAAGCCAAAAAAATACTCAAGTCTTCCACGTTTTTTTGAGTCATCGACAATCCAGAAAAAACTGTATCAATACGGGAATTACAAATCGACCAAACCATGGCATGCCAAACAATTTGCAGCCCACATTTAGTCCTAGAAGCTCCAGACATGGAGATAAACATTTGAAAAAAGATCAAGATATCACTGGACAAAACACTATATCATCCCAACCACCTAAAGATCATATATCAAACAAGAGACACAATATCACATATCACAAAGAGATGAAAGGATAACTTAATGCGCATCGAGTAAAATCAACATGAAATAGTCTCACATATTAGAGAAACACTCCGCTTGAATAAATTAACTTTAATTGGAATATGATTCTGAAAAAGTTATCAAAGAGTTATGATATTATTAAATATTTAAAATTAAATATATATATATCAACTTTTATATTTATCGCTCTCAATTATCACGCAATTGTGACCGTCTAATTAAAATCAAACGATTTTAAATTTTAACCTAATATTTTGAAGTTATAAAATAAAAATTACATCTAGTTTTTCTAATCCACCTGATCAAAATCTGGCAGCTAATAGTATTTTGATTACTTAGAAAATTGAATTCAAACGGTCACTAGTAAACACTAAAGATAAATCAATATATCAAATTTTATACTTCATTTTATACTTAGAACAATAGTACTATCTTCACATTATTTTAAAGAAGATATGAAGCTGACACTTCTGAAAAGATTGCTGTTACATTCAGTTGTTGATGTGTGCATTAAATAACATTGAATTTTACAAACCTACAAATTTAATTCACACATGAAATCACCCACCACATCCCATTTCTTTCTCACATTCTTCTGCTTTATATAACTCTCTTCTCATCTCATCTCATCTCCTCTTATTTATTACAAACACCAAACCACATCTCATCCATATTCATTATTCACCACACCACCTTCTCTTTCCTCTTCACACCCCTCCCCCCTCTCACACAATGGGAAAGAAAAATTTGAAACTATCTTCACTTTTCAAAACCAAACTCTCTTGTAACCATCATCCAAAGACTCTCTCCTTTCGAATTGGTGGTGATGATGATATGTTCAAGACAGTTAACTCAGTGTTTTTCGACCAAACAGATAACCAAAGCAATATCGAAACACCGAAATCATGTTTCACAACAACCTCGTCTGATTCCGCGAGTTTCTCGACAGAATCAGACGAGTATTATTGCTACAACGACGGGGAGTTGTTGGAGACATTGGTACGAGGAGTTAAATCAGAAAGATCTTCTCATAGACTGTTTTTCGAAGCAGAAGACACGAGTTCCATCTTGGAAAAAGCGAAGGCGAACGGTTTTCCGTTTAAGGAAAGTGTGGTATTAGCTTTGGAGTCAGATGATCCTTACGAGGATTTCAAGAGATCAATGGAAGAGATGGTTGAGTCACATGGTGTGAAAGATTGGGAAGGTTTGGAGGAACTTTTGAGTTGGTATTTGAGGGTTAATGGGAAGAATAATCATGGGTTTATCGTTGGTGCTTTTGTTGATTTGTTGATTAGTTTAACTGGTTCTAAGGATTCTAGTAACTCTTGTTCAGAATTAACTTTCTATTCTTCTGCGGTTTCTTCTTTTGCTTCTTCACCAACTTTGTATTTATCTGAGGGACAGAATGAGATTACTGAGATTGAAGTTAATCATAATAATGTAACAGATTCTTAGTTTTAACTTCTTTTTTTGTTGTGTTGGTGTTGTACATTTTGTAGATTGGAAAGAAAATTTAATGACAATTAAGTTACGATGATCTTCTTACGTGGTTCTTCGTAGAATTGTTTGTTTTATCTTATTTATATTAATCTTCTTAAACGTATATTTTGCTATTATTACGAGTAATTCATATTTAGAAGTATGGTCGTAGTTATTGTGAGTACTGTGATTAGTTATTTTCTATTTTACATGTGTTTCATTTTATCTCTAAATTTTTTTATTATCTCGTTAATAATTCATCATCATTTAAAATATCTCTTGCAAACAATATATAATATGATGTGGTCTAATGTAATGTGGCCTGATCCATAGGCAATAGTAAAGTAAAAATAATAAAAGCTTGCTGCAACTTTATTATGATATATTGGAACTAACAACAACTTGCAGCAACTTGTGATGTCACGTTGGACCATCACAACAATAACTTAATGCTTCCATTTCAAAAAAAGGTTCTTCACTCTCTCATTAAACCCCCTTGTGTCAGTTCCAAATGATTGCTTATATAGTGTTAGCTTAGGTTTGTGTATGAATATCATTTGGGTTGAAATTGGTGGAGAATAGAATGTTGAAATTTTGCCTTGAACAGCCCAACCGAAAATCCTCTTGTTTAAGTCCAATTTTCAGCCTTGTTTCACAATCTTTGTGTTAAATGGGCCTTTGAGTTTATGTGATATGAACACCTCATCAAGACTCTTTTTATTAATTTGTGGTTTTTTGTTGATTTGAACATGATGGAGATAATTGTTTTGGTGAATCTTTAGGCCATGGTTGAAACATGTGAATTAGTGAATTTGTTGCCTTTGTTGTGGGAATAGAGACATGAAAATGTGCTAATTCACTCTTCCATTTTTCTTGTGTTCATGTGTTAGATGAATGATGTTGCTTGCAAAAGAAATGTGTGCTAATCTCTCTTCAATTTCTTCTTAATTGAAATTTAATCAATGATTTCTTCATGCTAGGAACAAAGAGAAAAGATGGAGGATCGTTGAAGAAGAAAGTGTGTCGTGGCCATTGGAAGAGGATGTTGAAAGACTTGAAGAAACTTGTGATGGCACGGAGAAATTTAAAGATTGGATCAAAGTTTAGACATAAGCTTTACGAATTCATGTACTTTGTGAATCAAAATTAAACATGTTCTTTGTAGCTTTTTCTTTCATGTAATTCTTTCATAAATAAAATGAATTGTATCTTGGATGCTTTGAATAAATTGGGATGAAGTTTTGAGAGAAGTTTGAATGAATATGAAAATGATGAATGAAAAGTGCTTGAAATCTTGAACTTGAATGTTCTAAAGATCTCTTTGAATCCTTCTTGATGAATTTTGAGAAGGATATTGAGTTCTTGAATTTGAAATAGATGTTGATCTTGTAATAAAAATTGTTTTGAATCATTAAAGAGCTCAACTTTGATTCAAAGAATTCATGAATTCTCAAACTAACAATCCCATATTATAGCTCACTACTTTTCAATCCAATTATTGACCGATGAAACTCCACATAAAAAAAACCATTGCCTTAAAAACTTATGGTGTCAATTGAAATTAGAGGTAAAAAAAACCTGTAATATTTCAATAGAATCCACGACTTTCTAAGAACAATTTGACTTTAACCCTTAAAACAAATTTGTAGATAATGCCATTTGTGATACCGTGCAAAATGAATCTTCCCAAAATGATGAAAATTGAAAGAGTAATGATTCTTAAAAGTTGGACGAAAGTCATTTGAAATTAGGTCAAAGTTTACAAAACAACCTCTAATGTACTCAAACTTTTGATGGTCCTCTACACATAATTAGCTCTCGACTTGTAAAGAAAAGTTGGAGAGAATGATGAAAGAAATCATATTCAAAAAGAACCACACAAAAATATTGAATAATGAAGAAGTTATGATCATTTGAATTCGAAAATGCAAATGTTGACTTTTGGTCGAACCAACTTTGAATTAACTTGCAAACTTGATATTTTCTGGCAACCCAAGGCACTCTTAAGATGAAATCTCGATTAAACCATATTCACACTTGTCAGAACTTGATATTACTTATCGAAGAAGGCGTGAAAATAAACACATGAACCTATCTCGAAGAGTCTTGAGAATTAAGCATCCAAACTCGCATTTACCATGTTGAATGAAACTTAAGGATAAGGTGGCCTAAGGTTATATATCACAACTTTGAAAAATAGGCCTTTGAGAAATAGTATTTGGCCTGAAGCAACTCACAACCCTAATTGCGAACCATCACCTGAACTTCTTGATCGGAAGCCATGTCCTCTAAAAGAAACAAAATAAACAAGAAATATTTTTGGATTTTGGTTAGAGGTCAGTAAAATATAAAATGCATATGTACAGGTAACACAATTAGGATGTTTGATGATTCCTCATGGACAAACTTAAAGATGAGAGAGCAAATGATAGCCAATCCAAATATGTGATCTTGATACATTTAAGACTATGAGATGATGGGGGATCTTAGGGGCAAAATCAGGGTATAACAACATGTTGTGTTAGTCAAAAGCATGATACTTATGATGTTGTTGTCGTTCCATAAGCAGTGCTTAGCATCTGGATGTTTGTCCTAGTTTGTTTTGTTAACTTATCTACTAAGTTTACTTTTTGTTAGGGCCTATGTGGAATTTTATTTTGTCTATATAAACAACTTTGTAACTAGGGTTTTTGTAAGATTTTAATATACAATTTCTTTCTCAACAAGTTGTTGTTGTAGTTGTCACTTCTTTCTCTCTCTTCCTCCATATTCATTTTCATATTTAACCTTTGTGCATCAACAATTGATATCTAGAGTTCCGGTTAGATTCATAGGGAAACACGAGTGTACGTGAGTCGTGTGCAGTTGATTTCATTAAATCTTGAATTCACATTAAATTAGCAAGCAGAATCATAGTAGAATTGCATTTCTTGATTTTGCATGGTCGGGAAACACAATTGTTTGGTGATATCTGAGTTTGAGTTTCAGTGCATAAAACAAAGATGAGCGAAGGAAGAAGTTTGAATACTAAACTTCTGGTGTTTGATGAAAAGAATTAGAATCGGTGGATGATTCAAATGCGTGTGTTGTTTGATGCTCAAGATGTGCTTGATCTTGTCACTTAAGGTTATCTTGCGGTTGCAGCAGATGTGACAAAGGAACAAAGGAACGCGAAGAGAGATATCAGTAAGAAGGACCAAAATACGTTGTTCTACATCCATTAGTGTGTAAATGCAAATGTGTTTGAGAAAATCACTGACTCGACGACGGCGAAGGCTGTGTAGGATATATTGACACAGTGCTATGGAGGTGATGTATCAGTGAAGAAGATGAAGCTTTAATCCTTACGTAAGAAGTATGAGAATCTCAACATGAAGAATAATGAAAAGGTACCGGAATATATCTCAAGATTGATTTTGATTACAAATGAGATGAAATCATGTGGAGAAAACCTTTCTAAACAAGTAATCATTGAGAAGATATTGAGGTCTCTTACTTCTGAATTTGATTACATTGTTGTAGCAATTGAACATTCTAAAGATCTGGACACCATGAGAATTTGAGAGTTGTAAAGTAGTCTAGAGGCGCAAGAGTTGCGTCTGATTGAGAGAACTTCTGAAAGAGAAGTTGAGCAGGCTCTGAAAGCTTCTTTCATCAGGAAAGACCAGAAACATTCTTGGTTAGAAGCCAAGAAAGGACATGGTAGGTCTCAGAAGTCAGAAACCTCTACTTCTAATGAGAAGAAATATTAGAAGAGAAGGGATGAGTTTGACATTAAGAAGGTTCAATATTACTGCTGCAAGAAGTTTGGCCATTTTGCTTAAGATTGTTGGTCAAACAAGGGAGGGAAATCAGAAAAAGATAATATATCCAGAAGAGATTCCGATGATGAATCTGTGTTATTGATGGCTTATGAGTCTGGCGGTATGTATTTGGTAGACTGGTGGTATATGGACACTGGCTGCTCAAATCACTTGACTGGAAATAAATAATGGTTGGTTGATTTTAACTCTAGAAGAAGGACAAAGATCATATGTGATGATGATAAGTATCATAATGCAGAAGGTATAGGAAATGTCAAAGTCAGAGTGAAAAATGGAAGAACTGTTCTGATCATGGATGTTTGGTATGTTTCTGGAATGAAGAGCAATCTTATGATTATGGATTAGCTCATTGAAAAATGTTTCTCAGTTACTATAAAGAACAGTATCTTGAAGTTGTATGATTCCAATCAGAAGTTGATTATGCAGTCTGATCAGGGAAGCAATAAAACATTCAAGGTGAATGTAGAGACAACTGAAATAGAGTGCCCTAGTGTAGAAGGCGCTGAAGGTGATAGTAAGTTATGGCACAAGATATTGGGGCATCTGAACTACATAATCTTAGGGCATATGAGTTCTAAGAAGCTCATGCATGACATTTCGAAGATTGTGAAGCCTGAGAAGTCATGTGAGGTATGCATGAAAGGTAAGAAATCCAGATTGATATTTATGTCATAAGTATCCCCAAGAGCAAAGCATGTTTTGGGAGTAGTGCATTCTGATGTGTGTGAATCATTTCCAGAACCTTCACTTGGAGGAAACAAGTTTTTTGTGTCTTTTGTGGATGAGTTCACAAGAATGACGTGAGTAGCACTCATTAAGTTTAAGCATGAGGTGTTTCCTGAGTTCCAGAAGTTCAAGGTGAAGGCTGAGAAACAAAGTGGTCAGAAGTTAAAAGTTCTCATAACAGATAGTGGAGGTGAGTATAACTCTACAGAGTCCCAGAAGTTATGTGAGGAGAATGAAATTGAGCATGAGGTTACTACTTCATACACTCCTCAGCATAATGGTCTTGCTGAAAGAAGAAATAGAACTTTTCTTGATATGCCAAGAAGCATGATGAAAGAGAAGAATCTACCTCATACCCCGTGGGGAGAATGCATTTCCAGTTCAGCGTATGTGCTCAATAGGTGTCCAACGAAGAAGCAGAAGGAA